GTGTGTGTGTGTGTGTGTGTTAAATTAAATTTAACTTTCCATCATGTTATCAGAATCAAAAGTGCCCTAATAAACTGTTTCATATTTGACTTTGTAGGCAGTGCTGGCTGCCATTATCTATGTCAACCTCAATGGCATGGTGAAGCAATTCCTGGACATCCCTGTATTGTGGAGAAAAAACAAAGTTGATTCGGTCAGTGTTCCTAAACGTAGACAAAGAAACTTAGAATGTTGTGATAAGATGTACACCATTCAGGAACATTTCGGTCACTACCGTGCATGTTTTGATCATCCATCAAAAATCTCTGTATTTCTCAAAGATTAACTTTTCACTTCCTCGCTTTTTCCAAACTATATGCTCCTTGGCAATCTCCTATATGTTAGCGCCTGTAACAATGAATTCAATCCTTGAGATCTCTGCCTTTTACTTTAATAGTATGTCTTATATCTCTATGTGCAGAAAACTTTGTCTGACTAGAGAGGTTATTGATTATTCAAACATCCAAGCACATCCCAACATCTCTCCCCAGCAGACCCAGAGACCCAACTGTGTGCATCTTCTCCAGTTGTCACTAGGTGATGAGCTTGGCCAGTGCAGACGCTGTTGTAGTTTCTCAGTTCAAAAGCCAGGGGGAAGGTGTGTCCCTGTGCATAGTGAGGTGTGAGATAAAGTCTGTGCTCTGGTACTACTGTCTCCCGATTACTTTGTCTAACCCTGGTCCGAATGGTACTTTGGTTCGCCACCCTCATGCTTCAAATGATTAAGCTACATTAGAATTCACATCACAACATGGCCCTTCCCGTGGTGCCAGAGATAGTTTACTGCTGTACAACTACTGATGAGAATTGTTGAATACATTGCATTATATTTCAACTACATCAACGATTCACTGTAGTCTTATTTTACCACCTATTTGTATTTAACTAATCTCTCCCTGTTTTTCCCCAGATAATCTGGATGGCCACCTTCATCCTCACTGTTTTGTTGAACCCTGACGTGGGTCTAGCTGCTTCCATCGGCTTCTCCATGCTCACCGTCATCTTCAGGACACAGCTGTAGGAACACATTGCCCCACCCAACCACAATTATAAACTAACAATGACGTGATATGCAACGTTCAATATTCAAACTGAACATTCATCTATCAAACACCACACCCAACAATTATCTAACCTTCCCTTTTTAGACCACATCAAAACACAAAGCGTTTAATCAGACTAACAGGACTTTATTTTGTGTGTACTACAGACCTAAATATTCTCTGCTGGGGCAGGTCCCTGGCACTGACATATACAGGCCACTGGAGGAATACAATCAGGTATGACACAATGTATTCACCTCAAAACAGGACAAGCATCCGACCAGACATGGTCAGAATGTACAGAGAATAATGATAAATTAATGATAAATTAAGGTACTTAACCCTCGGTTTCTCTGTCCCTCACGTTAAAATGAAGAGTCAAACACAGAAATTTAAAATGGAGTTAGTCAACAAATTGCACTTTGCTCCAACTAAAGCTTGACCTCACTCCTACAGTCCACAATGTAGGGCCTGAGCACAGAATAGTGTGAGGATCCTGTTGATCCCTTATACTGTGTATTTTTGTCCTTTGAAAGAAACATTATCAAAAATCATAAAATCACATGTCTGGTCTGGCAAAAGAATATATATTTTATTGGTCTTGCACAATGGTTTGGCAAAATGTCTTCATTGCACCCCTTCATTGCATTTGAATATCAGAGCCCCCTGCTTTTTACTTTAAGCTAAATGTATAAAATTAGGTTGTGACCATTGAATTAATGGAAGGGCAGTTTAACAAAAACATTGGGATGTCTTTACAGTTAGCCTGACATCTTGCTATCATCATACTTATGTTTAATGGTGCTTGTCAGGTTGACTGCCCATGAAATCATGGTGCCTGGGGATGAATCATACTGACTTTGTTGATCCCCTAACGTTTTATCAAGTTTTCTCTTGGTCTGTGATACATCTTAACACAGTTGTTTTGATAGAGACCAATTCCTAAATGATTTGGTGATACCTGGTATTTCCTCTTGCACCACCATGAGGAAAATTTAATTAATTTGACTTTGAATATATTTCCAGGAAAATTGCTGCGGACATTTATCTTCAAATGAAACCCTAAAACATTAGTAATATAACACCATCCTAAGCTAAAAGGTGTCAGTTGTACTTTGGTTGTAGTTTTTAACTCAAACACCTCTGTTCTAGCAAGACTCTAGACTGTCATTACTTGGCAGCTTGAACATAGTGTTATGCTATGAAGGGTTATGCTAAGACATGTGCTCCAGTGCTACTTTCCTCGCAGGTGATTTAACATTGTTAAACACTGTGTTATTATGAGCATTTGTCAGTATGGGAAATGTAGTGATTCATTTTTTTATTTAAACGATCAATTCCATAACTTATCGATTTTAGGTGAGGCAGGTGCCAAAGATTTTGATCTTCCGTTCCTCTGCTACACTCTACTTCGCCAATGCTGAGATGTATGAAGATGCCCTGGGGAAGAAGGTGAGGACACACACACACACACACACACACAAGAAATAAAACAACCAACTCCTCCACCAACAGTCCCTCTTCACAACTTCCGTGCAATCATCTCCTCTCCTGCGAACATTATTTCAGACACTAATAACTGAACTGACTTTTGCACAATTCACACATTACGACTGTGACAGACATTGTTCAGATGTCATCCTAATGTTTTCTTCTGTTTAACTTTTTTTGAAACATCCTGCTCTCCCACCCATTCTTGTCTTGCTTTTCTGTCACGTCTCTTTGGGATACATAGGAAGACACATTGAGGAAAGCTGTAAAAAAAAAAAAAAAAAGATGACAAAAGATGAGAGGGGGAGAAGCTGAGACTGAATAATTGAGGGTGATAATGGAACGCTTCATTCATTAGAATGTCAGCATGTCAAAACCCCCGGGTCGCTCTTTTCTTTCTACTGTTTGATGCACAAATAAGCTTTCATAGAAGTGGCAGAGGCTGTAGGTTTGTCGACAAAGAGAAAAACTGTTGCCTCATAAATTGTGGTATTTTGGCTCTGGGTGAAACCCACCAGGTGCAGAAGAAATGTTGGATCACTCTCTGCTTGTTCTTGCTAACAGCATTTAAAATGATGGGTTGCAAAAAGATGAATGACATGACTACTCCACAAGAGTGAAGCCAAGGCAGGTTGACTGCCACCTGGTGGCATGTAGCGAGCTAAAAGTTGCACGTCAGTTTTTCCTTTTCTCAAAGATGCTTTATGTAATTTGACATATTTCTTATCACACTGATGTTTGTTCAGGTGTTCATTTTTCCTGTAAATTCGGTTTCGATTACTCATTTGACGCTATTAAAACAGGTTGAGATGTCATGACTGACAGGTGAGACGGACTTGAGTTGGTTGGTTGTTAGTTTGTTGTAATAATGTTTTTTAATAGTCTTGAGATGAAAACATTTATTTTGTAGTCATAAAGGTTTGGCTCACAATCTGTCAGATCAGTCTTAAAATGATAGGAGGCTTTGATATTGAAACCATTTTTCTTGAATTGACCCCTTTGAGTGAAATTTGATGTTTATATGAGAATTCAGATTCTGACTCAATTTATTTGCATTTAAACAAATGGACTCACAAAATTGTATTTTCTGTTGCTTCAACAAAAGTCAGATTAGTCTGAGAAAATGATGTTAACTTATTTATTAGTTGTAGAACACAAATGCAGGTGAACCTCATTTCATTTCAAACATTCCAAGTTTACTGTAAACCAGAACCCTCAGGTGAAAGCACTATAGCTTCCTGAGCAGGTAAGACCATCTTAGAAAAAGGACTTTTCTCTAACGCCTGGTGGTTATGCCTCATAATGTTGTGAGAACAAACAATTCATTTGGACTGAACCTACAAAGCCTGTGAAACCTTTACACAATATTTGTATGCTGAGTGTTGCCCTGCAGTATTTGCTATAGTAATACATTGTAAACTGCACAAGCTTTGCTGTTCACATGAACTAACACCTCAGGGACACAGTTTGCATGAATGCAGACATTAACATCCATTTCTTTGCGATAGTTTGCATCTTGACCAACGGAAAGTTATGTACCTGTAGTTACTCTGGGAACTTTGTCCCGATTGTCTTTTACTGTTTCTATTAGTCTGGCATTGATATTGCCAAGATCCTGTCAGCAAAGAAGAAACTGGAGGCCAAAAAGAAGAGGATTGAGGAGGACAATGCCAAGAGAGCCAAGAAGAATGGCGTAAATATGGTGAGAAAGACCAGATGTAGTTAATGTATGAAAATGTTTTATTTCTTTACATTTAGAATATTGTTGCCCATTGCACGTTTCAAATACAGTTGTCTTTTAATAAACAAACCTTTCGGCAAAGACCATTGTCTAAATGTTGACTCCTTTGTGGTGTCATGTCTCCTCTTCAGGAGCCAGGGCAGAAAGACATTGCTGTCATTGAGACAGACATTGCACTCGAGCCGTCATACCCACAAGCCATCATTCTTGACCTCAGCCCCGTCAACTTCCTGGATACTGTTGGAATCAAGGCGCTACGAAATGTATGAACATGGCAAGACAGAGCAATATCAGTCTCACTTTGTTTAATTAGAAATGATGCATTTCATTTTACACTTTAACGTTTAGTGACTTTTATGCATTAGGGTTGAACTTGTATGAATCTGTATATGTATTACACAATTTTGTATACTAATTCAGCATTCCTCATCTAAAATTGATCCAGTATAAAGAAATGTTTGGAACAAAAAGGCAGACAGTTAAAGGCTATTACAATCCTCTGTCCTTCTCCTTATCATTTAGCTCCTCTGTCTTTCAGTTACAATAAATGTAATCATCCGACTAGTTAAACAAACCCCAGTCTGATCTGTGCGCTGTGTTTTTTTCTGTCACAGATCCAGAAAGACTACAGCCAAATTGGTATAGATGTGGTTCTTGCTGGCTGCCAAAGTAAGTCCATCTACTTTTCTAGAATAGTTTAGAATAGTTGACTAAAACTGCCAAGAAATTGTGTGGATTATTAGCTCAGATTTTTTTTCTCTGATGAATTCATTTTTATTTACAACAAATACTAATTTTATTTCTATTTCTGTGTCTTTCCAGCTGGTGTGGTGGACAACCTGCAGACTGGAGATTTCTTCAAAGACGATGTGACAAAGTCCTGTCTGTTCTCCAACATCCATGACGCCGTTTTGTACTGTCAGTCGACCAGAATGAGAGATGAGGTGATGTACTGTACAAGCATCAAACATACATATGGGGGGGATTGTGCCATCAATCAATAAGGATGAGTGACCAGTGCATATGAGCAACTGAGAATAATCCAACGATGCATTATCCTATCACCCCTAACACCTCTGACCTCACCCTCCCCTTCCAAACATTGAAGAGAACCTGTGGTATCCTTCAGTTGTCATAAAAACTCAAAATGGGATTCGTTTTTCCAGTTTGGACAACCTGCTGATGTAAATATAAAGTATCTAAATTAAAGGGATCATTCTAGGGTAAAGAAAACAACAATTTGTATAATTTAGATGAAACACATGAGTGTGTGTGTGTGTGTGTGCGCGCGCGCGCGCGCGCCCGCGCGTGCTTGCGTGCTTGCGTGCTTGTGTGTGTGCCTGCTAATCTTTAATATTTATTTGGGTGACCACGATAGAGGGAGATTGAGGTTTTTATAGTAAGATAAGAGGTCGGTCAAACTCAGACCTGGTCCATCTTGATATGAAATACATCTGACCTGTTATTTATCATGAGTTCATTTAATTTTCCATTTATTTAGTTCAGTTCATTAAAGTAAACTGTTGAAATGAATGAAAACAGACAAGGCTGCTGAAGAATGATATACTTTCCACATGGTGCAAAGTGAAGACATCTTTTATCAAAGAGGTTGACTCAGAAATACATAAATAGTTGTTTATGTATCATGTTCAGCCAAGGTTTTAGATCACATGTACATAACCCAGTGTTGAGACTTTCAGGTTTTCAAAATATATTTCCTAAAATTGGGCTGTTTTTTTTCCTTCTCCTGTTCTGTCCTGTTTTTCACAGAACATAATGACACAGTTCTGAGTCCTGGGAGGAAAGATGGAGGACAGTATCAGCAATGACACTGATTGTATCCTCTGAGCTTCAGATAACTGGGACTTCTGTTTGTCACAAGCACAGACACGCAAATCTGCATACCTGCACACACACATGCAGGCAGGCACGTACGCTGGCACACACACACACACACACACACACACACACACACACACACACACACAGATACACACACACACACACACACATGCGCTGTAGCTATGTGGGCAAAGCCACATAGTGGCAGTTAATGACTGAAGAATACACATGTGAAGTCACACAGCAATTTTCCAGTCTAGAGGAAGGTACAAATCAAAGCAGTACCACAAACACTTTTGTAGATAAAGTATATTAATACATATTGATATTCTTCTGTGCCTTGTTGGCCAGCTTTTTGAAATGATTTTATTACATTGTCATTTTATTATGTGTATTAATCATTTATTTATGAAAATCTACTGAAAGCATTGGGGAGATGCATACTCTGTTTATACCTGAATCAGGCAATACTACCTTTTTTGTAAAATGCTATTTCATAATGACTTGCTTGCTTTTCTCATTTCTTAACTTTTCCTGGAACTTCATGACTGTGGGAAACCAGATATGAAAACATTTTTAAACTACTTATTGGGGACCTTTGACCCTTGGTGACTTTGCTTGTAAGATTGTGATAATGCTGAAATAAAACATTTATTGGGACTATAGACTGTATAAAGATGGACGATGTGGGTGCATCCATCTTGCACTATTGATGTCATGTGGAACCTGAGTCTGCCTAGTAGTGATCATGGTGGTACTGATTTCCCACAGACATAGGGGCTCGACTCTTTCTATGGTAACTAACTGAAACACTTGAACAAGCCTCACTGTGATAGCAAAATGACAAACATTTTTGATTTTGGTCCATGTTCCATCCACGGACATAGAGAATGCAGGATTCATGACAGTCTCTATTGATCAAAACCAGGGAACTGCATCCACACTATGTAAAATAGACTTAACTTAAAAATGCTTGTTGACAGATCACAGAGTGAGCCTCACAACAAGGGTAATACACACTAGAGCTATTTTATATTTGTACCAAAGAAGGTTTCACACAAGATAAACTCATACTTGAAAATTTAAATCTCAAGGCTAGATCTGAAATTACACAGGAAATATTTTCATAACCTGATGACGTGGCCTGTTGCCTCATGACGGTTGTCTGCCTCCACCTGTTGACAGTGTGTGAGACATGGGTTTCACTGATGAGAAACATATGACCACACTGAACACTCAAGAGTATCCCAGTTTGATCCTTCCGGAAGTTGCGCATGATATGAAACACATCAGTGGAAAGGGAAAAAAAAGTGGGTTTTCCTTCTTTTGACGGTGAAATGCCTGAGTCGATGTTCGTCAGCCATCTGGTTCATATTTCACGCCCCTCAAGCCCTATGGCCATTAAAATACCAGACCATCCCAGAGAGTAAACACCTCAAATTATCCACTATTGTTTTTCCCTCTGTTGATGACGCATGGGTTTTTATTTGGTTCTACTTTATATACAAATGTATTTGTGAATCAAGGTGTTCCCTCATATTTTACCAATCATTCCAATTTTAAGGCAAATTGAAATCGTCTGGGGCTGTAAAATAGGGAGAGTTTCAGCTATGAATTAGGAAACCACCAAAACATCTTTAGAGGATATACTGAGGTCAGGACCATTGACCGTGACGGACCATGTTGAGGAATAAAGTCCTCAACAAAAAATAAAAATAATGAAACCCATTACTCCTACGATAGGATAGTGAATTATTTTTTCATCTAAATTAGCTTTAGCTCATGTCTATAGTCACATAGGACTCAGAGATGCCACAAAATGCATTTTTGAACTTTACATGACATTACTTTCTGACTTCTTTGTGATATCACAAGATGCATAATCATTTTGAATATATCTTTGTAATTGCAATTTGTTACCCTGTTTGTGGGCGTACAGGGTCCACAGACAAAGGTTCACAGGCTCTAAATATGACAATATCAATGCACTTAGATAAAAGGTTAATTTTTTTTCTTCAAATTGTTCCTGTAGTTCCTTTCCTGTCTGAATACAGATGGTTTTGAGGTGAAGCATCTTCAGAGGAAGACATCTAGATTTGGTGATGTAACCACAGGAAATTTCCAAATACCTCTGAAAAGATCAGGACTTATGAAAATGTTGTTTTGAATCTTGATTGAATGTTTTCTCCAGTCTCACTGTGACATGTTGTTTCAGTCAGACTCGTCCGTAACTCATACATCTCCACATGAGTTCAGTGGCTCTGTTTACATACCGAGCTGATCTTTGAGATATTTCAGTTCCTCTGCCAGATGAAGCTCATTGTAGTGATCCAAGCTCAGATAATGTAAGATAATGAATTGCTCATGTTACGTAACACTGCAACATGCTGTCCTTCTGTTGATTGGCTTGAATACTCATGTCTATATAAAAGTGAATATTTAAGCCATCATATCCATCTGTTATACAATGCAGATGTTAAAAACCAGACATGTACTGTATGTTTCACTTACACATTATAATATATGTAATCTAACTTTTATTTACACTAATTGAATACAATATAAAATGATGCTGTCACCATCAGTCCTAGTTTCAGAAGCCTCTATTCTATAAACAGCACACTTTCACTTCAGGAAATTCTTTGAGGTTGATCTTGATTCAGACACTCTCAGAACACATGTACACATCATAAATTCATTTACAAATTCTATCCAGTTTTGAGTCACACATTTAAACCAAAAGAATATTAAGAAGTAAGTTTGTAGCATGTTTACTGTATGTCTCATTGATAAAGAACAGTTTTGTGAGAGCTTGTCTGTAAGCATTGCGAGAACTGGGAACTAATTAATTTCCAGTGCTCCACCACAAAGATCTGCAGCCACAACAATCCTCTGTTAAGTAAAACCAGATCTAATGAGTCACTGTTAATTTGAAATGGAACTCATAGTCATGATGAGTTGCAACAAAACAGTTACATATTAGTGATGACTTTCATTAAAAGTACTTTGTTAAAAAATGATCCTCCCATTGTACATGAATTCTCCATCCAAAATCTACAGCCTCCAGTAAATTCACCAAATATATGACGGCTTATAGTGTTTGCTCACACATGGCCTTCATATGGCCACAATATGTGTCTTTACAAATGTGTTGTACTTGTTACTGTGTACTCACCACATCGTGTAATACATTCTACATGACTGCATCAAGGTGAGAAGTTGAAACCACTAGAGGTCAGTAACCATAAGATTTTGAGTATCTACAACATGAAGGTAGCTCTGCCAAACCCACATAAAGCCCATTTTCTAATGCTTCTGTGCTTGATTTAAAAGAGTAACTCCTCATAGAATTATTATAGTCACGCATTACCAGTCAACACTGGTTTATGTATCGCTCCTCTGAAAAAGATTTACCTCTTAATAATGTGTTAAATTCATCAGAAACTGTTAATATGAAATGACAATAGCAATTTTCAACGACAGGCCATGACATTGACAGCACATTTTACACTGACTCAACATCTGCCCACCTTACTGTCATTACTCCTGCCATGTTAGGCTTATGCTGTAAACCTGTAAAGTAACACATGAACACATATTCCACAAATAAATGCACATACAATGTGACAGTGAGCAAGGCAGCAAGGACAGAGGCTTCCATTCTCCTAAAACGAGCCCAGTTTCAAAATAAAGCCCCAAAAAACAGTATAAGGCAGTTGTTGGGAACCCCTTCTTCTCAAGGGCCTTCTCAATTTTTTTAGACCCATAACAATGTGATGGCTTCAACTGTGCCTGATTGATGAAACATCTGAAGTCAAATGGTAGTGATGTTGATGCTACTTGCGGCTAGTTTGTCAAATATTTGCTCAGAACTAAACAGACATGTTGAGCTCAACAGCTGGAGGTTGTTGATCGAGCTTTGATCTTATTTCGTGGTTGTCTGACAGATCAGCTTGACCTCCGCAAATTTGAATAGTTCTTATTTCCTTTCATTTAATTTTTAAAATCCTGAAACTTCTTGCCAAATACCCAAATGAGTTTGCAGACATACCAGCATATTCAGATACTCAGGCTTTTACAAACTTTTAAAAACTGCTTATCTTTTCCTTCAGTGTTTTTCAATATCTTGTGTCATATTAGTAATCTGCTCTGTTTGGGTTAATGACGCTTGAGATTGACCTTTTGCATCACTATAGGCACATTCCTGGAAACTGGGAGGACAGGATCTTCAATTACATCACTGATGAAATGTTTCCACCATGTGTTTGTTATGTTCACAGCTGGAAGGGTCCACCCTGAAGTTAGTAAGTAAGTTAGTTCATTAACTATTTGAAGCCATTTTCTTTTATTACAAAAAAGTAACTGCAGACATTATAATTATTTGCATTTTTTTCCACTAAGTAATTGGATCCATGTTGGATGGATCAAATAATCTTATGGCCCTCATAAGGCCAAACTTCCAAGGAGCTATGGGAAATTATTTGTGATGCCCCCTTTTGGCCATTTTTAATACAATTTACAAACTTAGTTTAACTAGA